CATTTATGGGGAACAACGTGAACCCACCCATTTCCTTCTCTCAGGTCATTAATAATATTGAGGAAATTGTTTGCACTTGGAAACCACCAGGTGGGGAGGTCAGGGATATAAAATTGCAAAGAATTGTAATCTGAAACTGTGAAATCAAGTCTTGAGAAAGATTTCCTTCTAAAGGAAACAATGTATTTTCAGAATTAGATCATAAGTGATTTTTTTTTTTTTTTTGCTGTGCAGAATAATTTCTCATTCACTCTTTGAGGGAAATAAAACAGAAAATTGCATTTCATCTCCCTCTCCAGCCCCTTACTTGAACAAATACTTAGACAGAATTTCTTGTCCTCTAATTTGAATTATCAGTTTGTGAAATGGTTTTTTCCTCCCCTCTCCAGCTTGTTTCCAATTCTTTGCCCGTAAGAATTTGCTCCCCCTTTCCCACCCTTTTCTCTTTTCCTTGAAATTAGAGCTCTTTGTAATTTTTTTTATAATGGTATCACTTTTTTGGGTTATGCAGCAAAGCCTCCTACTCTGAGATCAAGCTGGATATGTGGAGATGACTCAGGATTACTGCAATAATTGTGATGTTTCATTTTTGGCTTTATTTTAAATTATCTCAACCCAATAAGAATATTAAACATAGCTTTGTCAACTGCAGGGATCGAATTTAATTGAATTTCCTCAGATCCAAGGTTGAAATTCCTCAGATCCAAGGCAGAGCTGGTGAGAAGGAATTCCACAGAGGGGAGGAATTAATTTGAAAATGAGGGATCAGGTGTATCAGCAAAGGAATTCAAGCTCAGGGAACAACGGGACCACTGAATCATTGTTTGCTTGGAAAGTTCTCCAGGCTGCAACAGAGACAAGGGAAAAAAAATCCACCCCACCTTAGCCAGGTCTTGGAAAGTCTCCAGCAAAGTTCAGCCACTCCAGGGCAGAGGAAATGCCTGAGGAGGAGTTGCTGGATGTGCAGAAAATCTCAGGGCAGGAGCCTGACAGGAGAACTTTGGCAGCTGAGAGGGGCCAGCAGGAGCAGATCCTGCAGGGTCTGCCAGGCTGGGAGCAGCCCTGGATTTGGGAACTCCCAAATCCCCAACATTTCTGTTCACGGGGACGCCAAGGGGACACTGCAGCCCTGCCAGGGAATCAGAGGGCAGCAGTTCCCTCTCCCAGCCCTTTGTGTGTGTCCAGCACTCCCATCTGCAGGGGATGAGGAGCCCTGGGGACAAGGAGCTCTCCTTGGCCCTCGGCCACAGGAGGGACACACAGCCCTTGTCCAGGGTGGGAACTTCCTTCAATTCCTTCACTGGGTGACTCCAACCTGCAGCATTTGATTCAGGATCAAAGTTTCCTCAGCTGTGAAATCCTTCATGTGCATCCCGCTGGAAGAAACAGCAGAGTTTTAAGGAGTTGAAATGTTTTGAGAGGGCATTTTTTCAAACATGAACCTGCAAATGTTTTGCTGCTGCTGTTGTTCAGTATTTCCACCAAACAACCTGGGGATTTTTAAAACTTAGCACTGGTAAGATCCACCAGGAATTTGTGTATCCCGAGGAAAACAAAGGGAAAGTTGTGCATGGAGCCAAGTTCAAGTGTTACCTAGAAATTCAATTATAATCCCCACAGCCCAAAGCTGTGAGTTCCCAGAATCCCAGACTGCTTTGGGTGGGAAAGAACCTTAAATTCATCTCACACCACACCTTCCACTGGACCAGGCTGCTCCAACGTGGCCTGGAAAATCAAAAAAAGAACAAAATTGAAGAGTGTAGGACAAGGAGCCATAAACCCACCCTGCTCGTGTTTGTGTGACTCAGCAGGGGCTGGAGCTGTTTTGCTTTGGCACAGGATCCCTCCCAACCACAGCAGCTTCCTCAGGCCAGGATCTCTGCCCTCTAACACATTTATGGGGCACAAAAGCTCCCTCAGCCTCTTCTTCTCAGCATTTTGAAGAAATCAGACTTGTCTTGGGATGGTGAACAAACACCCAGTGACATCTGAGTGAGGCACAGAGGTTTGTAATCACCCACTCCTCAGCACATGGAGGGATTCAAAACTCTATGACAGATCCTTCAGCCACGAGATTTCTCCTTCAGAAAATGGATAATGGGGTAAGGATGATGGGGTCAGTTTAATCATGTGAAATACACTGAGATCATGTGAGTAATTTAATAATGTGAAATACATTGAGATCATGTGAATAATTGAATCACATGGAATACAGCTCTTGCTTTGTTGCAGTGTTGAAGCATCTTCCCAAAGCCAGCAAGAACTGTGAGGAGCTGATCCCTGAACCTCCTCCCTGTTTCCTGGGAGAATTTCCTGTCCTGAGTGCTCCCTGCTTGACCAGGCCACTGCAGGGAGGGGAGGCCACAGCCACAAGGATTTCATGGCCCCTGTAAAAAGCTGCACACTCCTGCATTTGCTGTTAAATATTTGGGATCACTTCAAATGCTCTGATTCATGGGGAGGCAGCAAGTGCATCTGTAATAAACATTCTAAAGGCTGAGTTTAAGAGCCATGCACTGAATTTATTTGGGATATAAAAACTCCCCTGAAATGCATGTGGGAATCAGCCCGGGCTGGACTCACAGGAACATCACAGTCAAGGTGGAAGTGACTGAGGAAAAAGGTAAATATTGGGAATTAGCCAATGGAAAACTGCCTTTTCCTCCTGTTAAATATTCTGGATACGTGGCTGTCATTTCTTATTCTCTGATAAAGACTCTGGTGTTATACAGAATAAGATAAACACAACCCCACGCTCGATTTAGCTTTGCTTTCTAAAATTTTCTGGTTTATCTGTGGATAGAAATTGTCTCCCTGGAATTAGGAAACTCGAGGTGGATCTGCAAGGTCAATTATCTTTGAGCTCCCTCAAGTGGCAATGAAACCTTGGAGGTTGGCACTGGAATAATTTAGTTTTTTAAAAAAACCCCTGGGGTCTGGCACTGAAATCCTTGAGTTTGTCACTAGAATCGTTCAGTTTTTTACAAAACCCCTGGAGTTTGTCACAGGAATCCTTGAGTTTGTCACTGGAATAATTTAGTTTTTTTAAAAAAACCCTGGAGTCTGGCACTGAAATCCTTGAGTTTGTCACTGGAATAGTTTAGGGGTTTTTTTTAAAAAACTGGGGTTTGTCACAGGAATCGTTTAGTTTTTTACAAAACTCCTCGAGTTTGTCACTGAAATCTTTGAGTTTGTCACTGAAATCTCTGTCACTGGAATCCTCAACTTTGTCACAGAAACCCTCGAGCTTTTTACAAAACCCCTTGATTTTGTCACTTGAAACCCTTGAGTTTTTTACAAAAACACTGGATTTTGTCACTGAAACTCTCAACTTTTTTACAAAACCACTGGATTTTGTCACGGAAACCCTTCAGTTTGTCACTGAATCTCTCCCATTTGTTGCACAACCGCTTTTCCAGCGAAGCCGTGTAACCTGAGCCGTGTTTTTCACGGCAGCTGTAGGAAACGGAGATGCTCAGATTTCAGATTTTAGTTTCAGTTTAAATCCGATTCCTTTAGTAACACCATTGTCTTTTGGCAGGTCACTGAAAATACACGGATCAAGTGAAACGAAGCGTTTTATGTGCAAGGCTTTGGAGCTGATTCAGACATGATACCTGCACGTTTTGAAAAGTTGTTTTGATTTTCTTCTCTGGTTCCTTATCGAGTTCATGACAGAGTAACTGGAAAGTGAAATGTGGTAAAACTCAGCCCTTTGCTTTCTACAGCTTGAAAAGGTAAATAAATCCTTTGGCTTAAATCACAAGTGGTTTTTCCTCGTTAAGAGCACACTTTATTCAAAAATATTATTTTTTAATCAGAAAGCAATGGACGTGCACACAGGATTCAGGTCATTTTTGATGCAAGAAGATGAAATTTGATGGAAGACTGGAGCTTTTCACAGTAAAAAAAGTCGCTTTTTCAAGGGTTTGTATAATGTGGCAAGAAGCTTTTGGAGCAAACAGCTCAAGAAAAATTACAAGAGAGGAGGAAGAGAAGAGAAACCTTGGAGTGTTTGAAGGAGCTACAGGAAAGCTGGAGAGGAGCTGTTCATCAGGAATGGGACCTTCATGCATTATTCAAAATCACCCCCCTCCGAGCTGTAAATCAACATTTTTACTTTTTAATATTTTTTTTTCCTTGTGCTCTTTCTTGTCGGTGCACTCTCTGATAACAGAGATCAATAAATCCTTTCCCTGTCTTCATCCAGATAGGATAATCCAAAAATGTGAAGAATTTCCTGATTATCTTTTTATCATTCTCTGAGTTAATTACATGAACAAAACATTTTTACATCACAATGTTATAGTCCAAAAGAAAATATATTTACCACACTACTATTTCTAAGTTTTATTAATAGCAGAGCTAAAAGAAACGATATTAATTTTCCAACATTATACATATAGCATTCATTTAAATATTTACAAAAAGCCAATAATAGAACATGCACTTATAACACCTGGATGCTTACTGAGGGCTGGTTGTAGCCTGGCACTCAAACTTCATTTACGCTTACATTTACATTTACATTTGCACTTGCACTTACATTAGCATTTACATTTACACTTCCATTTGCACTTACATTTACACTTATACTTGCATTTACACTTCCATTTACGCTTCTATTTGCACTTCTACTTGCATTTACACCTCCATTTGCACTTACACTTCCATTTACACGTACGCTTCTATTTCCATTTTTTATATTTATTTCACGTTCCCATTACCCAGGGCCCCCTCGCAGGCCCCGGACCTCAGCCCGGGCGCTGCCATGGCAACGGGTCACGTGCTGGGCGTGGCGCCACGTGATTGGATGGTCGCGTGGTTGAATGGTCACGTGATTGGTTAATCGCGTGATTGGCGATCACGTGGCTGGCGGATCACGTGGCGGGGCCTCACGTGAGGCGGGCGCGATGGCGGAGGAGGAGCGGGCCCTGCTGGGCGCCGAGGGCGGCGATGGCGGCGGCGGCTCCCCGGGCCCTCCCCGTGCTCTGCCCGCCGCCTGCGACCCCCGGCGCCTCCCGCACCGCCTGCTCGTGCTGGCCCTCATGTGCTTCCTGGGATTCGGTGCGGGACGGGGCCGGGAGGGCTGCGGGACGGGGAGGTTCGGGTGTGGGTGCCGGGCAGAGCCTTGAGGCGTCCCCTTCTCCCTGCAGGCAGCTACTTCTGCTACGATAACCCGGCCGCTCTCCAAACGCAGGTTCAGCGGGTGAGTCGCTGTCAGGGGCTTTGAAGAGCAGGGAGAGTGACCTTGTGTGTGGGCATGGATTAACAGCACGGGGGGGATGGGATATTGGACAGGAATTGTTCACACAATGCCCAGAGCGGCTGTGGCTGCCCCTGGATCCCTGGAATTGTCCATTTGGAGCAACCCGGGATACTGGAAGGTGTCCCTGGGCTTGGAATAAAATGGACTTTGAAATCCTTCCCATCCCAACCTACGTAGGAATTCTGTCAATTACAGAAAACGCACTTATTTCTACTTGGTTCTTCCTGAATACTTACTCTGTGTCCCGGCCATCAGGTCAGGAATAATCCGTTTTTATGATTGCCCGTGTGCTGTGCAGGACATGAAGGTGAACACAGCCCAGTTCATGGCGCTCTATGCCTGGTACTCCTGGCCCAACGTGGTGCTGTGCTTCTTTGGAGGTTTCCTGATAGACAGAGTGTTTGGAATCCGGTGAGTGCAGTCTTTGTGTCACTCGTGTGCAAGGAATGATGAGCTCAACCTGCAGGTGAAGTTTAGACTTTATATTATAAAATTTTCAAAGTTATAATCAACCTTTTCAGTATTTTTTCCTTGTGCAGCTTAGGATTTTTTAACAATATAGATAAGCTTCCTTTCCTTTATAATTTAATTAAATTTGTTTTGAAAGCACCGCCTTGTTTTCTATGGGAATTGTTGAGCTGCACAATTTGAAAGAGACCTTTTAATTGCCCATCCACCTCCCCTTGTTTCCCTGTAATAATAATAATATCCCTGTAATAATAAAAACCCCGTGCTGCAGGTCTGAATTAATGTTTTGTAGGGGAAAAATAAAAAGGGTTCTGGTTAAGCATGAAGTGATTTTATTTTCTTTCCAGGTTGGGCACTGTCATATTCAGCATCTTTGTGTGTGTGGGGCAGGTGAGTGCAGGGGAGGGAGTGAGGGATGGTCTGGGGGTGCAATTTGTGTTTCACTTCAGAGAATGAGAATTGGGATGGGAGAGCCCTGGCTTGTATTGGGAAAGGGAACCTTGGACTGGAACTGTGGGAAGGATCCACGTTTTTTATGTGTTTGATGTGAAATTGGTTGAGGATGACACAGTCCCGGGTGGGCCAGGCTGGAGATGATGAACAGGAGAGGGAACAACACCAAAAAAGAGCAGGAATTGGATGAGAAGTATTTCTGGGAAAGGAAAAGCATTTTTATTCCTGTTTTTCAGACAGTTCTGCTCTGTCCCACACCTGAAATGCACAATTCTCGTTTTCCTTCACTGCTCTTTGCAGGTGGTGTTTGCTCTGGGAGCTCTGTTCAACACGTTCTGGCTGATGGAAGTGGGCAGGTTCATCTTTGGGTGAGTCTGGAAGGGCACATTTGTGCTCTTGGAGGTAAGGCTATCTAGAAAACTGCAAAAACTCACCCCAGAGAACTCTCCTGGAAAAATGCTGCCACTTGGAGCCAAAATTGGTGGATTCTGAGACCTCTGAAAGTGAGGAATGCAGGATCTCCACTTTAGGAAACAAAACCCAGGATTTTGCAGGTGTTGCTGACTCAAAAACTCTGGCACCACCAATTCTTCTTCAATCACTGCAATTCCATTTTTGAATCTTTCTGTTGCCTTTTCTATCAGTCATGCATTCAACCTGCCTGTCCATAACCAGATTTCTGTGAGATTCTGCTCTCAGGGACCTTTTATCTTTGCCTGCTGCATTTGGGATGTTGTGTTTTGTTGGCAGGATCGGTGGGGAGTCCCTGGCAGTGGCCCAGAACACGTATGCAGTGAGCTGGTTCAAGGGCAAGGAGCTAAACCTGGTGTTTGGATTGCAGCTCAGCATGGCCAGAATTGTGAGTTTGCAGACAGGAGCTGTGCTCCTCATTTTAGGGCTCCTTTTGGGTGTTTTGAACCACTGCAGGAGCTGGGCAATGTTCACCAGGGGTTGCAGCCGTGGATCCTTCTCTGGGGCAAAAGGAGGGAAAAAAGTTGCTTTTTCCTGGTGCCTTTTGATCAAATCAATTCAATATCAATCAAATAGATGGGAGTCCTGCTTGATCAAATGGATTAGATATCAATCAAATGGATTCAGTGTCAGTCAAATACTTGGGAATCCTGTTTGATCAAATGGATTCAATATCAATTAAATTGATTCAATATCAATCAAATACCTGGGAATCCTGTTTGATCAAACACATTAAATATTAATCAAATGGATTTAATATCAGTTAAACAGCTGGGAATCCTGTTTGATCAAATGGATTCAATAGCAATCAAATAGATTTAATATCAGTCAAATAGATTCAATATCAATCAACTAGATTTAATATCAGTCAAATACCTGGGAATCCTGTTTGATCAAATGGATTCACTATCAATCAAATATGTTCAATGTCAATCAAATACCTGGGAATCCTGTTTGATCAAATGGATTCAATATCAATGAAATAGATTCAATATCAATCAATTACCTGGCAATCCTGTTTGATCAAATGGATTCAGTTCAGCTCAGTTTATGAGCTCATGTATGTGGATTTTTATTCCCTGCTTACAAGTAAAAACTCTCCCAGACTTGTATAAAATTCCAATTAATGATGTTATTTCCTTGATGAATGATTTTCCAGGATTAATTTGTTCCCCTGCCAGCAGGGAATCACTGGGATCCTTTTCCCTGTTAAGTTCCCTGGGCAGCATTTGAATAACAAACACTCCTGCCTGGTGAATCCTTGGGGCTGGGAATTGCTGGATTCCTCACGTGGCTCTGTTGTGCCTAGGGGAGCACGGTGAACATGAATATTATGGGATGGATCTACTCCAGAGTTCAGGATCTGCTGGGCTCTGCTGGTCCCAGCACCCTCGGCCTGGCTCTGCTCATAGGTCAGTCATGGTTTGGGTTGGTGTCACTTGGGGGTGTGTTCATGATTTATTAACCGTTTAAAAGCATTTATCAACCACTTTAGAGCATTTATTAACCGTTTAAAAGCATTTATCCACCACTTTAGAGCATTTGTTAACCGTTTAAAAGCATTTATCCACCACTTTAGAGCATTTGTTAACCGTTTAAAAGCATTTATCCACCACTTTAGAGCAGCACAGATCCGTGCTCCTAGGAGGAGCACTTCCACACTTTTTGTGTCATATTCTCATTTTTCTCTCAGCTTACTGCAGCTTCTGAAATGCTGTGGCATTTTTGGGGTTGCCAAATTCAAGTCTGTGCCTCGTAGATATAAAATATTTCCCATCCTCTGAGCAAAGGACAGGCTTGAAAATTTTTTCTGAGGGGTGTCAAAGCTTGCCTGTGATTATCTTGATTGTAGAAATGAAATTTGAACAATTTTGGGGCGTGTTCCCTTCCCTCAGAGCCATGGGCATGGAGATTTTGGTGTTGGGGATAAAGTCAGGTTTGTTCCTGTTCCTGCAAGGTGCACATGAGGAGCTTGGGAGTGCTGGTGATGTTTTATTTAAAATAAATTCGTGTACATGTTTGTGCTGCAGGGCAGGTGTGTGCCAGGTTTGTGTTTTACACCTGAATCTTTGAGCTGTGCTGCTCTTTGAGCCTTGAAACTTGGGGTAAATTTGGTGTCCAACCAAAACTGCACTAATTGGGCTGAAAAACCAAATTACTGCTGGATTGTCAGCTGAACATGTGGTGTTGCCTTCCTCAGGGGGAGTCACTTGTGTCTTCTCACTGAGCTGTGCTTTAATCCTGGCTTACCTGGACAGGAGAGCAGAGAAGCTGCTTTGTAAGGAGCAGGGGAAAACAGGTGAGTGTGGGGCTGGGCAGCTTTAATTTCAGGTAATTCATTAATTCAGTGCCTGCTGCTCCACATCTTCACAGCTCTGATCAGGATTTTAGCTCGTTTTTACACAGGGTTTTAGTTTTGAACACAGGCAGATGCACTGTCACCTGCTTTATTCATAAAAATCAAAGTTTGCACCAGTTTGTGCTGTTGCCACTGGTTCTGTGTTTTCTTGATTTCCTTTAGCAGGGAATCAAAACCTGGGAGCTCTTCCCTGTCAGTGTGTGGGGGTTGAGTTTTCCATGTGGGAGAACTCGAGCTAATTAAAAATAAACTACTAAATTAAAATCAATATTAAAATTCTATTAAATGTAATTTTATTCAAAAGAAAATGAAATTATTTGAGAACCAGTGAAATCCTGCTTTGGGCTAGAAGGGATCTTTAATCCCTGAGCAGGGATGTGCTTGAGGGAGGGATTTGGGATTTGAGATTTGGGATTTGGGATTTGGGATGTTCTCCATGGGGATGAATCCCAGGTTTGTGCATCCCCAGTGATTCCCTGCTGTGTGTCACCCCCCTGCAGGAGAAGTGATCAAGCTGACAGATGTGAAGGATTTCTCCTTGTCCCTGTGGCTCATCTTTGTCATCTGTGTCTGTTACTATGCTGCAGTTTTCCCTTTCATTGGCCTTGGCAAGTAAGTGGCCCCTCACTTTTCCAGCAATTCCCTTGGAATTTGGCCAAAATTTTAACCAAAATGCTTAAAAATTCACATTTATCAGCTGAGCCTTGTGGGATTCCCCACTCTGAGCTCAGGAGCTTGAGGAATGTTGGATTTCCTGATTAAAACTGGCTGCAGGTTTTAAAACATGGGGTGGGATTTGGTGTCCTGGAGGATTCCTTCCATATTTACATCCCAATATCTCATTATTTGGCTTAAATGTTGGTTATGGACTCCTCATGTTTTCCCCAAAGTAGAACTTGATTGATCCTTAAATTAAAATCTGTGGAGTTTGATAACAAGCTCCTAAATTAATTATTAACGAGAATCTGGGATATTTATGTCAAGGCTCTATTTAATTTGTTTATAAATGAGATTCTCATGTCTTTGTCTAACTTAATTTTGATTTCACATCCTTCAAGTGTGCATTTTTCCTAAACAGTTTTTTTTCTCCTTCCCTCAGGGTTTTCTTTATTGAAAAATTTCGATTTTCCCCTCAAGAAGCCAGTGCAATTAACAGGTATCTTGTGATTGATTTCATAAAGAACACTGCCACGTTTTAGGATGTGTTTTTGGGCTCTGGGCAGGTGGGAAGAGATTTGGGATCTCCTGTGAGCTGCATTTAAGAGGAGAAATAATTTCACATGACCCAAAGAATAACTGAGAAACGTGGATGTGTTTTTTATTAAAAATAGATGTTCACACTGGAAAGAAAAAGGGGTTTTGTATTAGTATTTAGTGATTCTGAAGGGTTTTGTTTTAGTATTTGGTGGTTCTGAAGGGTTTTGTTTTAGTGATTCTTTTCTGAGTGATAAAAGTAGATTTTTAACAACACCAAAGGAACTCAATTTTGGTAGTTTGAGGATGAATTTGTGATGTGGCCAAAGCCCAAAGCAATAAAACCCCACAAAAAAAAATAACAAAACCAAACTTGCTGGGCTCTGTCACTGCTTCCTTGGATGCTGAGCACTTTAATGCTTCAAACCTTTTGGGAATTCTGAATTACTGAGATTTTTTTGGGAGTTTTTTTTTTTTTTCCTCTGACCTCAGAGTTCCCAGAGGACTGTGGGAGTGTTAAATCTTGGATTTCCCTCTCCTGCAGCATCGTGTACATCATCTCAGCCCCCATGTCCCCTGTGTTTGGCCTTCTGGTGGATAAAGTTGGCAAGAACATCATCTGGGTGCTGTGTGCTGTGCTCACCACCCTGGCCTCACACATCATGCTGGCCTTCACCTTCTGGAACCCCTGGATAGCCATGGTAACCTCAGCTGGCATTTACACCTAAATGTGAATCAAATATCAAATATTTGGGACCCCTGGATAGCCATGGTAACCTCACCTGTTGGATTTACACCTAAATGTGAATCAAATATCAAATATTTGGGACCCCTGGATAGCCATGGTAACCTCAGCTGGGGTTTACAGCTAAATGTGACTCAATAATCAAATATTTCTCTCATAAATAGAAAATAAGCAGTGGGGTTGGCACTGGATTATTCTGAGTGTAGTGAGGTGGGTGAGCACAGAAAGTGTAAAACTCAGAGTTTCCAACCATCAGGGAGGGGCAATGCCTGCATTTATGTGAGTGGTGGCTCTGCTCTAACCCCGTGTGTGTGTCCCTTGTCCCCAGTGCCTGCTGGGTGTGGCCTATTCCCTGCTGGCCTGTGCCCTGTGGCCCATGGTGGCCTTTGTTGTCCCTGAGCACCAGCTGGGAACTGCCTATGGATTGTGAGTAATTCCATGGATTTGTGGCATTGCAGGGCTGGAGCAGCTCTGGGATTGTCCAGAGGGGAGGAGAAGCTTTGGGGTGAGCTGGAGAGGGACAGGGGACACAGGGGATGGAGGGGACAGCACACAGGGAATGGCAGAGGGCAGGGATTGGGTGGGATGTTGGGATATTGGGATGGGATTCCAGTGAAGGGAGCCTGAAAGAGCTGGAGAGGGACCTTGGACAAGGAGCCAGGACAAGGGGGAATGGTTTAAACTGAGCAGGAGAGATTTAGATGGGACATTGGGAAGGAATTCCTGGCTGGGCTGGAATTCCCAGAGCAGCTGTGGATCCCTGGCAGTGCCCAGGGCCAGGCTGGAGCAGCCTGGGACAGTGGCAGCTGTCCCTGCCATGGCCTGGGGGAACTTTGGGGTCTTTTCCACCATTCCCTGATTGCTGGCACTGTTGTAGCACTGAACAGTTCCTGTTCCAGCTGCTCCAGGTGTGGAGCAGGAATTCCTGGCTGCTTTGGGATTGTGGGTTTGGGAGCAGAGCCTGAGGCTGGGGGAGGAACAGGAACTTGGCCATGTCCCAAGAAATGGGGCAAGGAGCATCTCCCATCAGCTCAAGTGCCACCGAGGAGCTTTTCCTGAGGAAATGAAAATCCATTTTCCTGAGAGAAGGGCTGAGTGCTGTTCCTGCTCTGTCCCAGCATGCAGTCCATCCAGAACCTGGGCCTGGCAGTGATTGCCATAGCAGCTGGAATGATCCTGGACACCAGGGGGTACCTGTTCCTGGAGGTGTTCTTCAGTGCCTGTGTGTGCTGTGAGTGGGGGACCCTGGGCATGGCTTCAGGGAGCTCCAGGGGGGGTCTTTGGCTTCATATTCCCTGGAAAACTGAAATCATTCCTCTTCTGGAGGTGTCAGTGTTGGGATGAACTCGGAGCCAGTGAAGTGCTTGGGGTTTCCTTGAAGTGTGAAGAGTTTCAGTGTTTGAAAAACGGAGTGAAAGCAGACAAATAATGCTTTTAAAATGTGAATTACAAGTTAAAAATTAAAAACCTTTCTGAATTACCACGTGCTGGGAGCACAGGGAGAGTCACAAAAGCAGAAAACCCCTCTGAGTTACAACAACCACGAAAATCTTGGCTGTGGGTTAAACCTGTTGATTTTTATTGTCAAATAAATGCCTGAAACTTTCCCTTTCCTTTTGCAGTGTCACTCATAGCTGTGGTCATGCTGTACTTTGTGAATCACCTCTCAGGTGAGTCTTTGCAGCTTCTCTTTACCTCAATTTCTACTTCTTTAAAATCATTTCTCTGCTTTCTCAGTGCTCTGAGAGCTCCTGTGTGGGGTTTTTTTTTACCAAAGGCACAGAAATCCCGGTTTTCAAGGTCTCACATTGCTGCTCTTACAGGTGGTGATCTCAACTGGTCTGCAAAGAAAAGGGCAAAACTGCAAAAAGCAGCTGCTTCTGAGTAAGTACAGAGCCAGGAAATGTCCTGAAGGGATTCAGGACATCATTTCTCCAGTCTTGATTTTTATTGGGTTTCTTTTCCTTGCCAATCTTTGAGGATTTCATATCCCTGCCTCCTGTGAATCAATATTTGAGGTTGCATTATCCAGGTTTCCTTTCCTGCCACTTCTCCTCCCTGTTTGCCTTTATTTCAGCGGCCTCACGACTGAAATGGGGCAGGAAATTTGGTGGTTGGAGATGAAATCACACTTTGGGGTCAGATCTGTCACAAATTTGGGATGGCCCAGACCCGTGTTTGTCACCCATGTGTAACAATTCCAGGTTTTCCAGGGATCCAGTGGGATTTGGGATGTCCCAGTCCCATTTTTGTCACCCATGTGTAACAATTCCAGGGTTTCCAGGGATCCTGTGGGATTTGGGATACCCCAATCCCATTTTTGTCACCCATGTGTAACAATTCCATGGATCCTGTGGGATTTGGGATGCCCCAATCCCATTTTTCTCATTCATGTGTAACAATTCCATGGATCCTGTGGGATTTGGGAAACCCCAATCCCATTTTTCTCACCCATGTGTAACAATTCCATGGATCCTGTGGGATTTGGGAAACCCCAATCCCATTTTTCTCACCCATGTGTAAGAATTCCTTGGACCCCGTGGTGTTTGGGATGCCATGGCCGTGTTTGCAGTAATTCTTGTCCCCTGTTTCTTTCAGAAAGGAAAGCTGAGCAGCCAGGCCGAGGTGGGAGCCCCTCAGCACCTGCAGCTGCACCCAGGGGAGCTTGTGCTGCTCTGTCATTGCTGCCACCCCCATTCCCGGGGCTGCCTCAGCCCCTGCTCTGCTCTAACACCTCCATTCTTTTTTTTTTTTGTTGTTGTTGTTGTTGTTGCTGGGGTGAGGGCCCTGGAGTAAAAGCTGAGCCCAGAGCTGCTGTGCTCACAGGGTGGAGCTTTCTGATCCAAAATCTTTATTTTTTTTTTTTTTTTTTTTGTTCTCACCCAGAGCTCACACCAGCTCACTGCTGCTGCTTCTGTCACTGTCTTGATGCAAAAACCACTTTTTTAAAAAAAGGATTTGCAGCTTTGAGTTTGTTTCCTATCAACACAATGGGAAAAGAGCCACAGATGCTCAAATGGACTTTTTTTTTTTTTGTAGGAGATTTCTGAATTCTGAGACTGCTGAGCAGTCTTTTATTGCCTTCTCCATTCTCTTTGTATTGGAATGTTTATTTTAAGGGATGAAAGTTTAATAGATTATCAAAATTGTTACAGGAGCTCGTTGTAATCTGCAAAACCAAAAGGTTTCTCTTTCTACTGAAATCTTGGAATGAAAATAAAAGGAACCTGCAGAAATCAGCCTCTCTCTTTCTTTACACTGAATTATTCATCCCTGCACAGCTCAGGGTCATTCACCTCATACCCCAAAACGTTTCCTAGCTATTAAAACAACAAGATGAAAATATTAAATAATTAAAAAAATTAAATAACATTCCACTAAGAATTTCCCTGCTGGGCAGGGTTTTCCCTCAGGGCAAACATATTTTTTTTTTTTTTTTTGCCACTTTTCTTTTGCAGAGCAGAAGAGCAGGAGAGGCTCAGACAGCAGAACGAAGATGATTTGGCAAAATTGCTGCCAAAAGCTGATGCCTTTAGTTTAAGGAATAAATACCTGTCCAAACTTGGAGCTCAGGTATCACTAACAGGGGTTCATAGAGGACTTAAAAAAAACCAGAATAATGAGGGGTTTGTTGAAAGAATTTGGCTGATTTTAACAGCCAGCAGCTCTGAGTGAAATTCCTGGGATTTGTTCTCAGGAAGAAATCTCCCAGTAATTAAAAAAAAATCTAATGAAGGAAAGGAATCAAAGGCTGGCCCAGCTCAGAAGTTGAGGAATGTCTTGTGATTTTTTATTTTTTTTGCAGCTCCCAGCTCATTACTCCTCCTGTTTCTCCACCCTGGCTCACAGAAGTGTGCTGAAATAGTGGAAAAGCAGGAATACACTGAATTTCCTGGACACAGAGCAGAGCAGATGGCTCCATGCTTTGCTGCAAGCCTAGATCCAAGATTTAAAAATCTTACCTAAAACTCCTCCTCCCTGGGCAATTCAGAGATCCTGATGGGGAATTGTGGCTCTGGTGGAAGCTCTGAGTATCCAATCCTCTGTGAGCAGCTGAGGCAGGGGCCAGCACTGGATCTGGGAAAATTCAATAATTCAAATTATTGCCATGAGATTTTTCTCCTCTTGGACACCTTCATTGCTCTGCTCTGTTTTTCTGAGAGATAAAGGTGAGGAAAAGCTCCCAAGTGAATATTTCAGAGGAATCTTCCAATTCCAGAAGTACAAAAAGATCTCATCCTGGGATTATCCCAGCTCAGCAACAGCAATAACCTCTCCAAGCCTGAATAATGTGAAAACTGATTTTTTTTTTAAGTGTTAGTGACTAAAAACTATCAAAGGAATTAAAGCAAGAACTGAATTTTGCTTGCAGAGGGAAAAGCCTTGAATTCCATGGTGGAACTCCTCATTTTCCCTTCATTTCAGTGGGAGCCTCCTCGCTGCTGAGTGCATTTGGCTTTGGTTTAATTAGTCCTGCAGGTAATTGGGTAAATTATCCCTGATCTGAGCTGATCCTGCTTTCAAGGGCAGGAGGTTTTGGAGCCTCAGGAATTGGGGAATATTCCTGGGATGGCTCCAGGGAATCCTCGAAAAGCTCAGGAACCTTTGATGTGTTTGGCTGCAGAGAGAGGAGCCTGTTCAATAAAATTTGATGTAGAATATTCTTCATTTAATATTTTTAATTTAAGCAGAACTCACCAGTTCTTTGCAGTGGAGATTTCTTTGATGTCCCTGGAGAACTCTGATCTTCCTGAGGGACATTTTTGGGTGGAAATTGTGGGTTCTGAGGGACAATGTGGGAAAGCAAAGCAGCCTTTGGGAGCTCCCTGCCCCCCTGGGCTCTGCTGGATTTTGCTGCTCCAGCCTTGAGGCTTTGCTCGGGTACAATTGTGAATTTGGGGTGTTTTTAAATAAAACTTTCTGTTGCTCCACTGGCACCTGTGGTTTTTTGGTTGTTGAGGGTTCTGGTGTTGCCTTTGTGGGGTTTTTGGGGTTTTTTTTCTTTGAGAGAATTTGGGGGAAGTTTCTCTTCGAGGATCCAAAGGCAGAGCTGCCCCCACTGCTGGGCTGATGATTTTTTTTAGTGGGGAGGGAGAGAATTAAATCGAATTTTGCTCTTCATCTTCTGCTTCTCTTGAACTCTGACACATTTTGGAGAAGTTCCCCCCTAGGCTGGGATTTCATGTGTGACCCAACCCTGCAGTTCCCGTTTCCCTGAGCTTTATTTTCAGTTCCTGAAAACCCTCCAGGATCCTGCTGCACTCCTGGGGCCACTTTGGGACAAATTCTGGGAGAGCTGCAACCCCTCTGGCAAAGGGTTTAACCCTCCCTGGGTAGGGATGGATTTATTGGAACATCTCTCCAAATCAGGAATTCTCTGAGCCCATTTCCTCAGAAAAATCTTCTTTATGGCTGAGGAGCCCTTTGGGAGGTGGGGCAGGGGAGGAAATGGGGAGCAGCTGGGAAGGGATTTTTTTATTCCCCAGAAATTCTCCCTTTCCCAGGGATCTCTCACTAGAGGTCAGCACTGCCACGCTGCTGCCTCGGCAATGTTGGAAAATCGGGATTAAAAACCTTGGAGGCTGCAGCTGCCGGCGTTTGTTTGAGTGCCCGATTTACACATTTTTATTTTAGTCCTGGCACATCCCTGGAAATGTCCCAGGATGGGGCTTGGAGCACCCTGGGATGGTGGAAGGAGTCCCTGGCCATGGCAGGGTGAATTTTTTTAGATTCTTCCAGCCCAAACCAACCTGACTCCATGGAAAAGAATCCAATTTTTGGGAAAAGCAGCTCCATCCCTCACCTCGGCTGAATTCATTGCCAAGGTGGGTAAATCGTGATGTTCTCCATTTGTTTTTTACCAGGGGAAGTTCAAGGTGGAATCAGGAGGAATTTCCTCATGGAAAGGATGGAAGGGGCTGGTTTGGAGTCCCCAAATTCCCTGCCAGGAATTCCTGGATGTGTCCCCGGTGCTCTGGGCTGGGGATGTGGCACAGTTTGGACTCGTGCAGCCTCAGGGATTCCATGATTGTTCCACTGAGTTACCGAGGGGCCTCGGGGAGCTTTTGGGCTTTGTCTGCTGGATCTGGACCTGAGTTTTGGAAGAAAATTTCCTCATCCCTTTGGGATTTGGGGCTGGAATCTCTCTGTCCTTCAAACCAAAGCTGGGGCCTCAAAGAAGGAAAAAAAATTCCTGCTTTGTTTCCCCGGACCAAGCTGCTCTTCCTGGGATTTTGATTTTGCAGCTGTGGATCTGTAAATGAGGGGCTGCTCCTCAAACGATCCCAATCAACATTAATTAATGAATTAATTAATTGATGGAGTTGTTGAGGTGTTCACAGAGCTCTGGGTGTGGGCACAGCTGGGAATGGCAGGAATTGAGCCCTGGTGGAGCTGGCACATCCCAAATTCCTGCTGGCAGCTGGAATGGGGATGGAACATCAAATAATCAATTCAGGGCTGGGGCAAACCCAGGGGGACATCTCAGGTGTCCCCTAAATCCTGATGGAAATTTCCTTCAACTCCAGACCCCAGGACTTCGTTTAAAATCCATCTTTATTCCCAGAATGTCACCAGGTGAGCATTACCTGGATTTCTACCATTATTTGGTATTTTTAGGTATGGATTTGGGGATTTGTTCTATGGTGTAGCAGTAGGAACAAATCAGCTTTGATTTGTTGGACCAGAGGAGGATTTTGGGGTGTCCCTCGTTGCCCTTCCTGCATCCCAGACCCCCCCATGAAGGTGAAATCCAGAGCAAACCTTGACTTTCCAATCCATCAGAAAATGCATTGCTTGGAAGAGCTCCCTAAAGCAAATTCCCCGGGATCTGAGATCAAACAAATCCCTGCAAGCAGTTTGGAGTGAGGCTGGAGGTGAGAGCCCAGCTCCTGGAATGGCTCAGGAACGATGGGAAAGCTGAGGGAGGGCAGAGGTGCCATTCCCAGGACACCCAACAGCTCCACATTGCATGGGTTGGTTTCCCTGGATCTGATTGATGGATTGATTTCCCTGGATTTGATTGAATGGATTGATTCCTCTGGATTGATTTCCCTGGATTTGATTGATGGATTTGATTGAATGGATTGATTTCCCTGGATCTGATTGATGGATTGACTTCCCTGGATTGATTTCTCTGGATTTGATTGATGGATTGATTTCCCTGGATTTGATTGATGGATTGGTTTGCATGGATTTATTCCTCTGGATTTGATTGATGGATTGATTTGCAGGGATTGATTTCCCTGGATCTGATTGATTTCTCTGGATTGATTTCTCTGGATTTGATTGATGGATTGATTTCCCTGGATTGATCTCCCTGGATTTGATTGA